CAAGAGCACATGGAAGAAGGAAGAAAAGCTAGAAGAAAAAAAGACTAAATACTGAACAAAAAGGGGAGAAGATGGAGAATGAAAGTCCTCAAAGTGTGTGTTACAGAGAGTGAGATTTGTACACATGTAACTTTATGAGAACCCAACATAAATACTTAAGCTTATATGTTACCTCATGGCTGTAATTCTGTAATAGGTTTACAGAAACAATTTTGTTCCAAATCCCTACATTTTATTTAAATGTGCTACACATACATGCATGAAAAAAATAGAAAACAATTACAAAACAAAAACAGGCAGATATGAAGCAAGACTAGGTAGATAGGAAAAGCTCAAATATAGTCACTGAAATAAAGAAACTCACTAGTTAGAATAATCGGGAGAAAACGAATGAAGTGTACGACAGTATTCACGATCTTCCCTTTAGATCTTTTCAAGGTTTGCTTCCTCATTTCCTGAATGGTCACCTTCTCAGTGAGGCCTTCCTCACCTATCTTATTTAAAATTGCAAACCACTCCCCCACCCTCTATTCCCTTTCTGTCTACTTTTTTCCCCAAAACAGTCATCACTATCCAACATACTAAATTATTTTATCATATTTAATCAAATCTAAAACATAAATCAATTTTAGATATATAATTATGTACCACTAAAGCAGGCAAAGTCCTGCCAATTGAACTAGAACACCAATGACTACACCTTTTGACATTTTAACATCTCTGAAATTAAGATGCGTCTTGGAATCTTGAAATTATTAGTTTACTCTCTGCCTCCCCAACTAGAAAGTAAGCCCCAGAGGAGAGATATTTTTATCCATTTGTTCAAGGAGGTTTTGAAACACTGCCTGGCACTCATGGTAAGTGCCTAAGAAATGTGATTTGAATAAATGAATGAATGATTGAATAAATAAAAGCAAAAAAAGTGCTGACAAGGATAAATAATATTATGTTTACAGCTAGAATTACAAGAATAAAACTGCAAAACAGGAACTGGCCACCTAGTCGAGTGGTTAATCTGGTGCGCTCCACTTCAGTGGCCCAGGGTTCACAGGTTCAGATCTTGAGTGCGGACATACACACGGCTCATCAAGCCATGCTGTGGCCACACCCCACATAGAAGAACTAGAAGGACTTATAAGTAGGATATACAACTATGTACTGGGGCTTTGGGGAGGAAAAAAAAAAAAGAGGACGATTGGCAACAGATGTTAGCTCAGGGCCAATCTTCCTCACCAAAACAAAAAAAGTATATATATTAAAAAAAAAAAACCAAACTGCAAAACATCAAGGATAGAGAAAACCATAAATGTTCCCAAAAAAGCCTAACTACTCACCAAGGAATGACAACTGGACTGACAGCCGACTCCACATCGGCAACAATAGATGCCAGAAGACTATGCTGTATTATTTTCGAAATGCCAAGAGTAAAAAAGACTATAAAATTAGAATTCTGTATCTTGCCAAATCATCTATTTAAGAATAAGGAAGAAAAAACACATTTCAAACAGACAAAGGCTAAGAGTGTACTATTTCCTGGTTGAAAGAGAAAGCAAAAGTATGCACTTAGCTAGAAAAAAAAAGATTCCAGAGGGAAGAAATAGGTTGCAGCAAAAAGCAACGAGCAAAGAAATTAGTAAAATATATTGATAATCCAACCAACTCCTGACTGTACAGTAAGTGTATATGTGTGTATGTTTTTGGAATTTAAAAAAAGTTGAATTGAAAATGGGTTTGTGAATTACTGGGATGCCTGTAAAGACTATAGCAAGGTAAACAATTCATTCCAATTAATTTGGAGAATTTCTATATATTTGATTCCACGATTTCAGTTTTAAACATTTCTCTAAGTTTTTCACTACCCACAAAATACAACAAAATATCTCCTCCTCCCAAATCTACAATTACCATCTATAGCGTCATGAAAGTACCTGCAAAGAGCTTGGGTCATACTTGCATCTTTTACATTTGGATCCGTAGTAAGGCTCCTGATGAGAACTGTTATCATCTGAAGAGGAATATGCTGCACAAGGCTTGCCAATGCTACAGAAGGTTCAAATGACGCATCTATTTTTTTAATTAAAAAGAAAAAGGAATATGGCAAGAAGGTTCAAGTGAAGTATTTAGAGAGAACAACAATTTACCAAAAAAAAAGTAACTGCAGCAAAGGTGTTAATCAGGAAGCAGTTGTTATGCTCCACCTCATGGGTAGACTAACATACAAGGAATGTTAAATTACAGAAAGGAGAGAGGAAAAGCGAGTAGCAACGATGGCTCATTCTATAGACAGAACTATTGCAATATAAAAATTATTGTTCACTATCACCATACTTAGTCCATAAATTATTTTTTCTTGCCCTCTTTCATAAAGTTGCTATTGTGCTAAAATATTCATTTGTAAAGCAGTAGTCAGAAAAGAAGCGCAAGGTATCTTTTAAATTCCCACTTCAGATCCTCCACAGTAACTTACAACTATTAATCACCATAGTCATTACATTGCTCTAAGGAAGATTTTACAAATCTCTTAAAGAAGTAGAAATTAAGACGAATTTTGGGGGGACTTTGCTTGAACTATATAACAATTAAGCAAGCACAAGGTGAGCACCTTTACTACTACAGTTAGAAAAGTTCTGGGGAAATCTAACAGTTCTAGCAACACAGGCAACACACAAAAAATTACAATTAATAAAATCAACTCAGATACTGCAAATATATAGCTGGTAATTCTTTCATAAATGTATTTAATTCATCAGAATGCATGGAGCTTGCATTGGAACTCTACTCTTATTCCCACTTGTAAGATAGAAGGAGGACACCTCCTTTGCAAGTTCAATTTCGAGTAATAGCCAGGGAGAATGGTTGTGGCAAGCAGAGAGGAAGTGAACATGGTTTTGGATCTGTTGTTTCACAACTTGCAGAGCTGGGAAGCTCCAAGTCCCAACAGGGAATGTAAACGCACAGGTAAAATTCCTGGATGAGAAAGCATTTTCTTGCCAAGTATCACTTGACTCTGTCCTGCTTTCTAAGGATGCAGTTCGTGGGCTATACCGAGAGTACAAAAACACCTACTGAAGGTCTCATACTCCTTCCTTTCCCTCATTCTACCTATATCCTCTCTCACAAACACTACTGTAGACAGAAAATGTCAATATTCAAAAACCACATAGTTAACTGAGATAATCCAGAAATAAAACACACTGCAACGATAAAAGGGGAAAATTCAAAAATGGGGGAAAAACTCATCACAACAAGATGATAGGGTCACAGTACAATAATATGATAAACATCATTACACTACCATTAGTCACTAAGGAATGGAAGCTTTATATAATAGCTGTCATCCTCAAAGGATTCCCTAACTTGAGCAAAGGCTGGTAATTAAGCAACTTGTTTAGTGTCAAAGGTCTTAGACCTCGGCGTCCCCAATCTTCAAAATAGGAACACTGGCTGTTTTTTAAGGTACAAAGTCACAGCCTGAATAGAGCAGCGGATGGGAATAAAATTTTGGATAAGGGTATTCAAGTTTGTGCTCCACGAAGGCTGTTTTTAAGACGTGTGTGAGAGAAACACAGAGAATCTCCAAGAGAGATTTTCTCGGAATCTAAAGACACTTACCTGTGGAAGAAATGCTTGCAAAAACTTCCTGCAGGGAAGGCAGGAGCGTGGAGTGCTCGGCCTTCCAGATGTTCTGCAGCAAGTTACTCACTTTCGTCACCTGGGAGACATATTCCCGCAGCTCTTTCTCTTGGGTGGATACGCACTGGAAGTGGCCGATGGTTCGAACGAGCTGTTGACAGAAGGTGATGGACAGTTTCCCCTTGGGGATGCACTGCACGAAGTCGGTCAGGAGGTCGCTCAGGCGGGCACAGAGCTGCGGCTCCGGCCGCTCGCACACCATCCGCAGCACCTCCACCTGCAGCAGGCTGAAGAGGTCCAGCACCGACGGGCAGCTCATGATCAGCTTGAGGCCGTTGTGAATGTAGTCCAGGATGGCGACGTCCTTCCTGTCCAGCGAGTGGTAGCCCTGCTGAAGGAGGCCCAAGACGAAGGTCTTGTTGAAGAAGGACTCGAACTCCGGCCGGTGGTACCGCGCGTAGGCCTCCAGCACTTGGTGCCCCACCTGCCGCTGAAAGGGGTCCTGGCCCTCCAGGATGAGCCGGGTCGTCAGGTCAAACATGGCCTCGCACTGCGCCTTGTCCAGCCAATGCTCCGCCGATTCCACCACCTTCCGCACAATCATCCGCTTTAGGGACAGCGGGTGCGAAGAACTCACCAGGCCCTCCAGGATCTTGTCCATTGTCGCCACACAGCAAGGCCAGGGCCAGGGGGTAAGGAGCGGTAGGCCACAGCCCCGAGGTGGAGCAGAAGAGCCCCGCGGCGGAGGTGAACTTCGAGCGCAGCAAGAGCGGGACCGACCACCGCCACCGCCGCCTCAGCAGCCACATTTATCAGGCAGGGGGCCCATCCAAGCCCGGGCGGGAGTTGGGAAGCCTGGGACGCGTAAGAACCGGCACTGCCCGTGAAGGACCTAAGTAGCCAGAGGCCCGCACTCCGCCGCCGCCCCGGGCCCGAGGTCCCTCTCAGCATCAGCGCGGAGAGGCCAGCGGGGGCCCCCGGCGGCGGCGGGCGCTCAGGGCCCGGGGCTGCGAGCTGGGAGATGGAGGAAGCCCGCCTCCGCGGCCTGGAGCGGTTGTGGGCGTCCGGGCTCCAGGAGGTCGTGAACTAAAACCGGCCCTGGGTTGAGTTAGGAGCCGCTGTCACGGAGGATATCCCATCAGCCGCGGAGACGAGCAGGCGAATACCTTTGACCCGGATTCAGAATGTCCCGCAAACAGGAAGTGGAGGACGTAGGAGCCTCCGGAAAGGCCCGCCCCTCCGCCCCTCCGCCCCTCCGCCCCTCCGCCCCTCCGCCCCTCCGCCCCTCCGCCCCTCCGCCCCTCCGCAGCCCTAACTCGCGGTCTCCCTCCCGGCTGCGCTCGGACCCCGCCTCGCCCCGCCCCTTCGCTGCTGCGCAGGCGCGGCCGCCTCCGGTCGAATCGCGCGGCGACGCCCGCGTCGTGGGGAATCGTGTGTCGAGTTGCAGGCGGCTTTTCGAGAGCAGCGGCCCGGAGCGGTCGCGGTGGAGATGGCGGCGACTCTGGGATTCCGACCCTCCGGTCTCTGTCGATTCTGTCCGCCTCAGGTTACTTGTGAAAGCCCGAAAAAGGGCTCTTTATGTAAAATCTTGTGAATGCGAAAGTTTTGGTTACTCAAGCAGAAGAGCATTTGGAGAGAAAGTAAGGAAAAGAACTCAGAACTCGGATTGAGGAGAAATCGTTTAGGGTCTTGCTTCGTTCCTCGAGAAATGAGCTAGAGTTCGTACATGCCAGTGCCTTGCTCCTACGTTGTGCTGCTTAAAGTAAGGACTGTACTGGCCCAGCAGTTGAGCGACGGTTGGTATCAGCAGAGGTTTGTTTCATGAACCCTCTAGCAGGTATCTTTCTCGTGAGCTTTTGTGGCATATCGAAAATTTATAAGCTGTCCAAAAAGTGGGAGGAGACTGAGAAAAATGACAAATGAGAAACAGTGAAAAAGTATATATATGCTTGTGTCATATATAAAAGTGTGAAAACAAAACCAGGTGAAAATTTCACAATACATTTAATGTATGTGTATGCTGACATTGAAGATGGTTTGCAATAAAGAAGAACATGATGCAGTCATCATACGTGTGCTCTTTGAAGTTAAATTCCAAAAATTCACAATAAGAATTTAGGCTTTAATCAGAGAGCTTTAAATTGGAAAATATTGCCTAATTATAGTCCCGTTCAGTCTTGGCTAATGCAGTTGTGAAATCAGACATTAATGGTCTCTAATACAGACAAAACTTTGAAGAAATAGTTCGTTTAAAATGTCCAATAGAAAAATGAACAATATTGTACGTTGTTTGCTTTGCTAAATAGTTTTGGTTTTTTTTTAACCAATTTACACAGTGATTACACCAATATGTTTAAGACATCACTTAGGGTAATCTTAAGAAGAATGGTGATTTAGACAAAATAGGAGCTGAGCAGAGGAAACGAGACTGAACTTGTAGGAAGAGATTGAAGATAAAAGAGAAATGAGCTAATTGATGGATCTGAAAGACACTCTTGCTAGAGCACAGGAATAGTTTTAGAACTTTTCAAATAGGTGGAAGATAAAACTAGAGAGAAAGGTTTGACTTTACTGGGAATGGTGCCACATTGGAAGACAAAGACAACATAGTAAAGCACTAAGAGGAAGGAATGATAGGATTGTGGATTTGAGGTGTAGCAGAGAAGATTTGGAATTAGCGTTTGTGGAGGATTTGCTAGGGAGCCAACTGAGGATGAATGAAGATTGCTGAACAATACTAGTGAAGCGATTACTCCAGAGAAGACAGGAGAAAAAGATTAGTTAGTTAAAAACTTGACAGATTACTTTGAATCATCAATAACATTTCTCCCCTTCAGTTAATGTTATGTCTTGAGAAATTGAATGTTGTAAAATAAGATGTCTGAGAGAACATGGTGCAAAAGACAGATAACAGTTTCATCCTATCAGGCTTCCAAAAGCACCGTGACTCAGTATTTTTTAAGTGCTTCTTGAGTGATAGATGCGTGAAATAAAATATTTGGTAGGTTTTAATGCCAAAGTATTCAAAACATGTTTCCTTTTGCCATTGGTAAAGCGTACATATTATGCTCTTCTATGGTTATAAGATTTCAGTGGAAAGTAGCCCAGTTTAAATAATTTATTTTATAACATAACTAAAAATTATAACAGTACCATGTTCCTGTTCAACATTTTAAAATATTTTCAGAAGTGTATCGAAAGGTTTTGTTGCAGTGTGCCATGCCACTGATCACTGGGTTAGATGGCACTATTGCTAAAGGCTTTAAGATTTTGTGTAAGGATTTAGTCTAAGGCCCGAATTGCTAATTAAATGGTTTTTTAAATATCTTCGATCTGGGAATGGGAGCTAAGTGATGGGATGGGGAATTATTCCTTATTAAGTACCCTCTATTTGCATGAGACTCAATATATTATACTTTATCCTTAGTTCTCAAAACCGACCTTTGGAAGTACAACTTCATAGCTGTATTTTATACATAAGGTAATGAAGCCATGAAAGATTAAGTAAAAAGCTATTAGGTGAATGTTGTGTGTGTGTGTGTGAGTGTGTGCGTCTGTTTGCGATGAGCAAAAAGAAAAGGCATTTCCAAAGGCATTGGTTAGAGTTGGCCAACTGCAACAACTCTGAGGTTAACTTTCCCCTGGGATGTTTATATTACCCTTTAGGATCAAAAGCAAGTTCAGTGTTTAGATTAGAAAGAGCTGTGATTAATAAACCATCATATGGAGTAATGATAGATCCCTTATTTTAAACTATGTAGTTTATGTTCCTGTACAGTTTTGAAATTATAAGAAAAAAACTGGAAAGAAATATACCCACCACTTTGGTATGGTGGGATAGTATTTATTTATGACTTATATAATGCACACCAAGCTAATCTCACTACTCTATTTTAAATCCTCCAGTATTTACCATCTTATTTAGGATAAAATTCAAGTGCCTGCCACTGACTACGAGGCCCTATGTGAGGCAGTTGTTGAGTCTTTTCCTATCACCTTCCTCCTTACTACGTGAGCCACCCTGGCCTTCTTGTGGTTCTTCCTCAGGTCAGACTCTTGCAGGTCGTCTGGCTTCTGTACTCACTGAAACCTTCTTCTCTGGCTCCTGTAGTTTGAGTCTCTGTTCAGAAGTCATCTCCCCATGGATGCAGTTTTAGGTTATCTATCAGTCTATTATGTATGCTGTTTATTTCTTTATGGTACTTAAGCACCATGTGAAATTAGTTTATTTGTTATTTATTTAATTGCTTACAGTCCTTTTCTGTCCTCTGGAATCTAAGCTCCATGAGGTCAAAAGACTCTCATTGTGTTAATAACCTCCATATCTAGTAGTTAGAAGAGTACTTGGCTCAAAGTAAACAATCTAACGATTTGTTGAATGAATGAACATTTCATTTTTTTAATGAAATGAAACCTAGGTTAAAAAAATCCTAAAGAATCTACAGAATAACTTCTAGAACTAATAAGTGAATTCAGCAAGGTCTCAGATACAAGATAATAAAGTCAATTATACTTTTATATACTAGCAATGAACACATGGAAACCAAAATAAAAAATGTAATACCATTTACAGTCATTCAAAAACTAGATAACTTAGGTATAAATCTAATGAAACATATACAGGACTCGTACACTAAAACTGACAAAACACTGATGAAACAAATCAGAGACTTGAATATGTGAAGATGCATATTGTATTCATGGATTGGAAGACTCAGTATATAAAGATGTTAATTTTCCCCAAATTAATATGCATGTGTAACACAATTCCTGTTAAAACTCCAGCAAGATTTTTTTGTAGATACAGACAAGATTATTCCAAAATTTATATAGAAAGGCAAAGAAACCGGAATGCAATAATTTTGAAAAAGAAGAATTAAGTGGGAGGAATCACTCTACCCAAATGTAATACTTATTATCTACTAGAGTAATCATGGTATTGGCAGAGGGGTAAACGTACAGATCAAGGGAACAGATTAGATTATTCAGAAATATCGCACACAAATATGCTCAACTGAATTTTGACAAAGGTACAAAAGCTATTCAATGGAGAAAGGATCACCTTTTCAACAAGTAGTGCTGGAGCAATTGGGTATGCATAGGCAAAAAACAAACCTTGACCTAACCTCATGCCCTATACAAAAATTAACTCAAGATGGGTCATAGATTTAAATGTAAAACATAAAACCATAATACTTTAAAAGAAAACATAGGGGAAAATATTTGGGACCTAGGACTTGCTAAAAATACTTAGACATGACACAAAAAGCAAATCAATAAATTGAACTTCATCAAAATTAAAAACTTTTCCCCAGTGAAGGACCTGGTTTAGAGAATGAAAAGACAAGCTACAGGGCTGGCCCCGTGGCCGAGTGGTTAAGTTTGCGCGCTCTGCTGCAGGTGGCCCAGTGTTTCATTGGTTCGAATCCTGGGCGCGGACATGGCACTGCTCATCAAACCACACTGAGGCGGCGTCCCACTTGCCACAACTAGAAGGACCCACAACGAAGAACATACAACTATGTACTGGGGGTCTTTGGGGAGAAAAAGGGAAAAATAAATTTTTTTTTTTTAAAAAATGACAAGCTATTACAGACGGATAAAATACTTGTAAAACCAGATACCTGACAAAAGACTTGTATCTAGAATAAAGAACTCTCAAAATTGAATGGTAAAAGACTTGTGTATCAAAGGACACTATCAAGAGAGTGAAAAGACATGCACAGAATGGGAGAAAATATTCGCAAAGCTTATATCTGATAAGTGATTAATATCCAGAATATATAAAGAACTCCTATAAATCAACAACAACAAAACAACCCAATTCAAAACTGGGCAAAGGACCTGAATAGATATTTCTGTGAAGAAGATATGGGGATATATAAATGGTCAATGAGCACATGAAAAAAATGCTCAACATCACTATCCATTAGGAATATGCAAGTCAAAACCACAATGAGATACCACTTCATTTCCATTAGGATGGGTATTGTTAAAAAAAAAAAAAGACAACATAGCAAGTGTTGGTGAGGATGTGGAGAAATTGCATTGCTGATGGGAATGTAAAATGGTCTAGCTGTTGTGGGAAATAATTTGGTGGTTCCTCAGAAAGTTAAACAGAATTACCGTGTGATCCAATCTAGCAATTCCACTTCTAGGTATATACCCCAAAGAATGGAAAGCAGGGGCTCAAACAGATACCTGTACACCAGTGTTCATAGCAGCATAATTCACAATATCCAAAAGGTGGACACAACCCAAATGTTCATCAACAGATAAATGGATATCTATCTGTATATACATATGTATACACACACACACAAAAGAATATTATTCAGTCTCAGAAGGAAATGCAATGTGGATGAACGTGAAAACATTATGCTAATTAAAACATGCCAGACACAAAAGGACAAATATTACATGATTCCACTTGTATGAGGTACCTAGAATAGTCAAATTCATAGAGATAGGAAGTTGAATAGAGGTTACCAGAGGCTGGGGGAAGGAGGAAATGAGGAGTTATTGCTTAATGGGTACAGAGTTTCAGTTTGAGAGGATAAAATTTTTGGAAATGCGTAGTGGTGATGCTTGCGCAACATTGTGAATGTACTTGATGTCATTGAACTGTACACTTAAAAATCGTTGAAATGGTAAGTTCTATGTATATTTTACCACAATAAAAACAATCGATAGTGAAAAAAACAAGCAATCCAATTAAAAATGAGCAAAAGATCTGATGACACATTTCAATGAAGAGGAAATACAGATGGCAAATAAGCACAGGAAAAGATGGTCAACATTACTAGCCACTAGAGAAATACAAATTAAGACCATGAGACATCATTACACTCCTATTAGAACAGCTAAAATAAAAAATGGTAAATGGTGACAGTACCAATTGTGATACTGTAATTTATAAGAAATGTATATATTTGGTCATTCAGGTCACCGAAATATGTTTCTCAGATATATTTAGTCTTCATCCACAGTTCCTGGCTCACAGCAACCAAAACCCTTGGAATTTCCTGGGGGATAAGCCCCACCCAAGGGTGGGGGCTGGTTGTCGGAAGAACTAGCCATGTAATCAGAGGATATGACCTTTTAGTCCCACCCCCCCAATTTCTGCGGAGGGGAAGAGGTCTTGAGGTTGAATCAATTGCCAAATGCCAGTGACTTAGTCAATCATGACTACGTAATAAAACCTCTGTGAAAACCCAGGACAGCTTGTCTGCCCTTTTTCAGAGAACTTCCATGTTGGGGAAACAGAACACTTCCACATGCCAGTGTGCTGGGCCCCAAGCTCCTGGAGGACTGAAGCTCTTTTGTTTAGGATCTTGCCCTAAGTATTTCTTCATCTGGCTGTTGATTCACATCCTTTAATATCCTTTGTAATAAATTGGTAATCCAGTGAGTAAACATATTTTTTTGAGTTCTGTGAGCTATTGTAGCTAATTAATTGAACCTAAGGAGGAGGGTTGTGGGAACCTCTGATTTATAGCCAGTTGGTCAGAAGTACAGATAACAACCTGGGCTTGTGACTGGCATCTGAAGTGGAGGATGGCCTTATGAGACTGAGCCCTTTACCTGTGGAATCTGATTCTATCTCTGGGTAGATAGTATCACAATTCAGTTGAATTCTTGGACACACTGCTGGCATCTGAGAACTGCTTGTTGGTGTGGGGAAGCCACACACACACGCGTATCTTGGAATTGGGTTGAGGAACCGTTTGCACCAGTGCTGGCAAGGATGCAGAGAAACTGGATCTCTCATACAATGCTGGTAGGAATGCAAAATGGCTTGGCCACTCTGGAAAATTGTTTGTTAGTTTCTTAAAAATTAAGTATGCAACTGCTATGTGACCAACCAATTGAACTAGGTTTTTATTCCAGAGAGACAAGCACTTATATTCATACAAAAACATCTACACAAATGTTCATAGCAGCTTTATTTGTAATAGGCAATAACTAGAAACAACTGAAATGTTTGTCAATAGGGGAGTGGCTAAACGAACTGTGGTACATTCATACCATGGAATACTATTCAAAATAAAAAGGAACAAACTCCTGAGACACATTAACTTTGATGGATCTCAAGTACATTATGTTAAGTGAAAAAAGGCAGTGTGAAATGTCATAATGTATGATTCCATTTATATAATATTTTCAAAATGAGAAAATTTTGGAGATGAAGAGCAGATTAGTGGTTGCCAGGGGTTAGGGATGGTGGAGTTAAAGAGGAGGATGGATATCACTATGAAGGGATAGCATGAAGGTGATCTTTGTAGTGATGGAGTGGTTTTATACTGTATTAGTGTGGATTCTCCAGAGAAACAGAACCACATGAGACTTAGTATAAGGAATTAGCTCTCACAGTTAGGAAAGCTGAGAAGTACCAGGATCTGCAGCTGGCAAGCTGGAGTCCTAGGAGTGTTGATGGTATAGTTCCAGTCTAAATCTGAAAGCAGGCAGAGAGAATGAATTCCCTCTTTCTCTGCCTTTTTGTTCTATTCAGGCCTTTAATGGATTGGATGAGGCCCACCAACATTGTGTAAGGCAATCTGCTTTGCTCAGTCTACTGAACTGAATGTTAATCTCATCCAGAGACATCCTTACAGACATACCAGAGAATAATATTTAACCGAATATTTGGGCATCCCATGGCACAGTCAAAGTGACACAAAACTAACCGTCACAAGTCTACCCCTTGTCAGCTTGGCACTCATACACATCTCCTTAAACCATATTTAATCTCCAAATAAAGACAATAGCATGATCATAATTCTACCTAACTATCTGCATACAACGAGAAACACTAACCCCTTCCCCAGAAAAGGAGGTAAAGTTCTTGAGTGATGTTTACTCTTCTCCTTGATATCCTGTAACTTAAATACTATGATGTAAAATTAACAATACTTAAATACTGTATGTTACATCTTATGTTACATGATAAGGGAATAAGAGAGGAAAGAAAAAAAATGTGCTAAATATATTAACATATATACCAGGCAAATTTTTTTTATATATACTAAACAAATATATTACACACAAACATATTCATAACAAAATGAGGAAATACTTATGACAATTACAGTCCTCATTTCTATAACTGGTCATGCAGTTATAGCTGGTATTTATAACAACCTTTTCCCACTATCTTTTCTGTATTCCCTTTGCCTTCAGCAAGCACCTCGGTTGTGGTTCTTTGCCTGGTGGAGTGATCCAAACCTTCAATCCTGAAGAGTCTGGGTCATTAGTAGTCCTGCCTGGATTGGATTGTTGTAGACTTCTGTTGATCTTAATCACAGGGCATGGTATTACTAAGAGATGCCCTGAGGGATCAATCACCCCAAACAGCACAGGAACACCCTTCTTTGCCTGTTGATTCATAGGTATGAGGAGCCCAAAGTGGCCTAGTGGCATTCTTAACTCCCAGTTCAATGGAATCATTGCTGTGTTTCCTAGCAGAAAGTATTTCTCCTTTTTGAACTAAGACTTCTAAGCCAGCCGAGCACAAGGTGACAGGAACAGGGAGAAAAAATTTTGCTAGTAGGTCACTAGAGGTACTAGTGAGTGCTGCTACTCCCATTTCTGTTCCTTGACTTCTGGACCTGTGAATTCTGGCTATAAGAGAAACAATCCCATATATCAGATGCCAATTCAGAGCATATACAGCCTTCGGGAGAACTTTGCTCCAGCCCTGAAAGTTATTGTCACCTAGCTGTCACCATAAGCCTTTGAGTCTTCAAAAGGCTATTCTACTGTTCTATCAAGGTAGCTGCTTCAGGATGGTGGGAAATATGGTAAGACCAGTGAATTCCATGAATATAGGTCCATTGCTGCAATTCATTTGCCGTTAAATGAGTTCTTTGATCAGAAGCAATGCTGTGTAGAAAACTATGATGGTGAATAAGGTGTTCTGTCAGTTCATGAATGGTAGTTTTAGCAAAATCATTTTATTTATGGAAAGCAAATCCATATGCAGAGTAAATGCCTATTCCAGTGAGAACAAAACACCACCCTTCCATGATGGAAACAGTCCAATGTAATCAACCTGCCACAGGTAGCTGGCCACCACCTCGGGAAATGGTGTCATATGAGGGACTCAGTGTTAGTCTCTCCTGTTGGCAGATTGGGCACTCAGCAGTGGCCATACCCATGTTGGCCTTGGTGAGTGGAAGTCCATGTTGCTGAAAATGTCTTACCAATGAGTCTAAAGTAGTCGCTACATTTTGCTTACCAAGTCCAATCAGCATAATATCGTCAATATAATGGACCAATCTGCTATCTTGTGAAAGGGAAAGGTGAGCAAGAAAACTGCAAATTAAATTATGACCCCTAAGTTAGAGCTGGAGAGTTAATAGTCCCCTGAGGTAGGAGAGTGAAGGTTTATTGCTGGCCTTGCTAGCTGGAAACAAACTGCTTCTGGTGGTCTTCTCTAACAGGTATAGAGAAGAAAGCATTTGCCAGATCAATAGCTGCATACCAGGTAATATGTTAATTTGATCAAGCAATGAAACCACATCTGGTATAGCAACTGCAATTGGAGGCTCCACCTGTTTAAGCTTGTGATAATCCACTGTCGTCCTCCAAGATCCAGCTGTCTTCTGCAAAGGTTAAATAGGTGAGTTGAATGGGAATGTAGTGAGAATCACCACTCCTGCATCTCACTAGTCCTTGATTGTGGCACTAATCTGTTTAATCTTTCCAGAAATATGGGTCTTGCTTTAGGTTTCCTATTTAGGTAAAGGCAGTTCTAATGGATTCCACTTGGTCTTACCCACTTTAATAGCCCTCACTCCATAGGTCAGGGAACGAATGTAGGGATTCTGCTAGGTGCTGAGTATATCTGTTCCAAAGATGAATTCTGGAACTGGGGAAATAGCCACAGAATGGGTTAAGGGCCCCACTGGGCCCACTGAGGCCAACTTGAGCTAAAATTCCATTGATCACTTGACCTCCATAAGCTCCTACTCTGATTGATGGGTCACAATGATTTGGATCTCCTGGAATTAGTGTTCATTCTGAGTTAGTGTCCAGTAGTGCCTGAAAGTTCTGATTATTTCCTTTTCCCTAGGGCACAGTTACCCTGGCAAAAGGCTGTAGGTCACTTTAGGAAGGCTGGGAGAAAGATTAATAATATAAATACTTTGCAGTGTACTGGGATCCTTCCTCAAGGACACTCAGCCTCCCCTTCATTCAAGGGGTTCTAAGTCTGTAAACTGGCTCAAGTCTGGGAATTGATTGAAGGGCTATTATTCTCTCTTTTTGTGATTCAAGTTAGACTTTTGTTCACTTGACCTAGATCTTTTCTGCTTCCTATCTATTTCACTTCTAGCAACAGCATGATCAACTAGCCAATGCTATAGGTCTATGCAAGTCAGACTATGCTGATTGTTGCTTTGACTCTGCTGTCCTTTATAGTAACCACAGCCAGCTTGCCTCTGGCAGTTGAGGGCTGCAGTTTGACCCCTGCCACCCCAGGGATCTGATTACTCCCATTGCATTTAGGTTTTCCAATTCAATGACTGCAGTCTCCACTGTAAGGTCTGGCCTACAAAGAAAAGTGGTCACTGAGCTCTTCAAAGACGTTGTGGCTCCCCTCACAAATTTATTTCTCACAGTAGTGATGAAAGGCATGTTTTCTGAACCCTCCCAATGTGAGTAAGTAGGTTTTAAATGACAAATCCACTCTGACATTTCAATCTCCCAAAGCTTTTCAATCCCTCCCTCTAGGTTAAACCGAGGCAGGTCTGGCATTTCTAATTAGCTCACTCTGGAGTAATTGAGATCACTAAGGGAATTAGTGTAGATAGGAGAAGAGAAATAACTCTAAGCTGGGCAACATTAAGATATTTGGAAGACTAGGAGGAAATAACAAAAGAGGCTATGAAGAAGCTACTAGCGTGGTAGGAAGAAAACCAAGAGAGTGTGGTATCCTGGAAGCCACATGAAGCAAACAATTAGCTGCGTCACATTGTTAAGTGGTCTAATAAGATGAGCATTGAGAACTAACTACTGGATTTAACAACATAAAGATAAGAGGTTGCATGGAGTGGAGAGTATCAGAGCCTAACAGCAGATTTAAGAGAAAGTGGGAAAGAAATTGGTGAGAGCAAGTATAAACAACCCTTTCAAGGAGACTTGCTAATGAGAAGGAAAAATGGGGGTGGTAGACATAAAGCAAAGCAAGGTCAAGCAAAAGTTTGTTTTAAGAAAAGAGGAAAAGCATGTTTGTTGGCCAATGGAAAAAAAATCTAGGGAAGAGAGAAAATTATTAATACTGGAGAGAGAAGAAAGAATTGCTCAGACAGTGTCCTTGAGTAGTTAGGAAAAGATCTAGTACACAAATGCAGGAGTTTCACTTTTCTAGAAACATGAACAAGTTCACTCAGTGACAGAAGAGACGGTGGTAGGTAGGGGAGTGAATATGGTTGTGGGAGTTTGCAGAAGTTCTTGTCTGATTGCTTCTATTTTATCAGTGAAATAGAAAGTAAGGTTGTCAATTGAGAGTGAGACTGAGAGAAGAGCTGGAGATTTAGGAGACAGGTGAAGCGATGTAATAGTTGTTTATGAAGAATGGAAACACAGTGTGATTCCTAGGCAGCATTATGTGCTTATTTGAAGTTGGAGATCGTAAAGATAATTGAGACCAATCAATATGCTTATTTGTTTCCTCCAGCTATGTTTACATGCACAGGTGCAAGCATGGAACAGTCAGAGAGTTGGACATAGCCAGGGTTGTGGTTTAGCCAAGTACAAGGAGACAAGAGAAGGGCAGGAGAGTTAAAAGTATATGCAAGGAAGTGATTATGATTGACCATGCAATTTAAGGATAGAATTTAGGATTTGAGGGGTGAGAGACGATGAAAACAAATTAGAATCAATGAATTGTAGGTTCTGATGGGGTCAGAGGGTTGGTGGAATTTTCCAGAATCCAAGTAAAGGTGGTGAGCTGGAAAGATAAGAGGTGGTGATCAGAGAGTGGAATCCGTCACACTGAGAAGATTGAGAGCCAATAGCAATAGTCATTGGGAATGGCAAGGACTGAGGTGCGGCCATGTGAGTTAGTAGCTGGAGTAGGGTCGAGGAAAAAATCACTGGAGGAGAGGAGGTCAAGGCACTGAGTGACAATATATTGGATGGATCATCTATGTGGACATGGAAGTCAACTGAGAATTATGGCAGGAACAGGGTTTGAGATGCTGTCAGGAAGTTAGGCACTAAAATCTCCAAGGAATGGGGTGGAGGGAGACTGGCCTGTAGATTGAGTACTACAGCAGGAAAAGAGAGTGCTGTAGTTTGATGTCATAAAATTTAAACGAGTGTGTTTATGGAGGAAGGAGGAAGAATGGTCTGGAAGGAGCAACAAAGAGTGAGAATGTCATCTTCTCCACCTCCAGGTCTAGTAGTAGTGGAGTTTGGAGTTTGGGCTGCAGAGGAGAGGGCTTCAGGGTTGATCAGTTTTTAAAGCAAAAAGTGAATGGAATGTTCAGAGAAGGCGATTTTGCTGATGACTGAGTCTTAGAGGGCACAGTGGAAAGATTTCAGGTGTTGGATAGAGATAAGAAATGGGTCAGAAAAGGATGCTCTGAGTATTAAGGAATTTGAGTCCAGAATATGAGAGTTGACTTTGGCTTTTTGTAGCAACTAAAATCAACAGGCATAAATGGAATAATGAGATTAATCTTGATGAAAGTCTTTGATAGAAGCTTTAAGTTCAGAATTGAAGCTATAATGAAACAAACGTGCAACCTCAATGCCTATTCAAGGACAAGTTTGGGCTTAGATTAGTCATGAGTGAAATGCCTGTTGGCAAAATGTCTGCTTCGTGAAGGGCACAAGGTGGTATATGCGGTTATGAAGGAATCTGAAGACCTTGAAGATAATCAAGGCTTACTATTCATTACCTTCAATTTACATCATACAGAAATTATTGCTGCTCTCAAACACCTTCATTACCATAAGAGGAACTTTTTCAAATGCTAGACAGTACGTTTCTGCCCTCTTGCCTGAGAGGAGTTTGAATAGTGGTAGTGTGTAGTTGATTTATAGACGTTTTACCTATTGTTACATTCAAACAAAATTTGAAACTGGAAATTTGATTTAAAAAAATCCCAAAAGATCAAAGCAGTCATAACTGGTTGAACATGAGTTCAAAATAAAGAAATGGTGGGGGGACTCCAAACCTAGAATAATTTTTATAGGCATGTAAAAAACTATAAGGGTTCTCCTAAAATCAATCAACATGGGATACAGGAAAAAACAGTGGGTGGGAACGTCAATTTTTGTTTTCATCAACCCACTTGTCTTCTCCCTAAGACTAAAGAGCTGTGTGTCTCTTCTTATTTATAACAGAAACTCAGAACTATCACTGCTGCTTTTGAATACAGAGAGGTGAAAAATTTTGTGGCTGGGGGCAACCAAGGTTTTGACTGGCCGGGAGAGTGGGGTAAGCACAGGACGGTGTAAGTAGGAGTGAGATGGGGAAAGAGAAAGCAGGTGGCTGTGGCATGGTTGAAAGTTTTACTTGTTATGTGGTTGGGGTGTGTGCACAGTGTGAAAACTCATGTTTGTTAAGAGGGGGGAGAGGACTGGAATGGATAATTGTGCAATGCTTACATACAGGTTTTGAAGATTTACATGGAAGGCAGGACTGAGAAATTTGTTATTTACTGTTTAGGTTCTTTTTAAGTTTCTGCCGTGGCAATTAATGTAAAAGACACACTTTGGCATGGAAAATTACAGAAAGAATAAAAGCAGGGTCTGTAAATAGCTACCTCACAGTTTTGTTGTAAGCGTAAATTAAAGAGTAAGTAAACATGCAAAGTACATAGCCCAATGCTTGGCTTAAGTTGCATTTTCTTTCTTAAAAGTTTTCTAGAAATTATCCTATTAGTTTTGGAATGGTTTACAAAAATAAAATAATGACTTCTGGTTGCAAGAAACCTCTAGTTATTTAGGTAAGCTCTTTAATGTTGTGCTAGCTATGTATGTGTATAGCTATATATATATATTTAGTCGTGGTAGATCTTCCCTGTCACGGCCCCTTTTCTCAAATCTCATGAACTCATTCTTTCAGATATCAACTTAAATTTTCCATCTTCAGGGGAAGCCTTACCTAACTTCATAAAATAGGTCAAGTATTCTATAAAATATCCTCAGAGCATCCTATACGTCTCACTAGCACCTATCACAATTGTAATTATTTCTCTGCAATTCCTGAATGTCTTCTACCCTAGGAGCTAAGTTCTATGAGGACAGGGATCATGTTTGTCTTCTTTCCTGCTCCTTACCCAGTACCCAGCACACCACCTCCCAGTACTTAGCACTCAATAATTGCTAAATAATGAATCTTGGTCTTAGTGAAAATCCTTTTGGGGATATGTTCACTTAGCATACATCAATATTTTTAGAGAGAGATTTGATAGGAAATACATTTTTTCATGGTATTGTAAATCTTTAGGAATTATGCATGTTAGCTTCCTTTACTGTAACTAAAATACATATATATTTATGTACAGATAAAGAAGAGTTTTCTTCTTTGAAGAGTTTTCTTAAGATAGTGTGGACATTGCCAACATGTTAAGTTACTAAATATTTCAAATATTGTTTTATTGCTTTATTTCTGAGGATTTGTACATATTCTTTCTCAAAGATGTGTCATCAGGGATCTTTATTTCTTAGACAAAACAAGATGTGATAGTCTGTTTTAGACATCAATGTGGAAGAAAATATTTGTATTTTAGGAAGATGGTGCTTGAGTCAGCTTTAGTTTTAAAGCACTTTCATGTGAAGAGCAATGCAGAGTGCTTATTTGAAGTGTCCTTCTAGCTCTACAAAGTAGACTGTGGTGGTGGCAAACATAGAACAAGAGAATGGGGAACAAAGCAGCCCAGATTTCTGTTTTTTAATATGTTGTATACTTTTTTTTTTTTACTTTCAGTTGCAGATTAGAGAAGAAGAAATATTACTGTTTTTCAAAAACAGACCTAAATGGATTGACTCTACCCCCTCTTTTATGTTGTGGCCATGGGTATGTTACATAGTTGGATCTCAGCTTCCTCATCTGCAAAATGAGGATAGTACCACCTTATTCCCAGCCATGGTCTATGGATTACATGATCTAGTACACATCAAGAGTCTGATACGTAATGGCACACAACAAATGTTTCCTTTCCCTCTTTCATCAGTTGGTTAGGCTGAGGAAAAACAGCAATGTAGGATTTTAGTGAACCATGTCTCTTGACATTTCGGACCAGGCCCTTCCTTCTCTCTCTCCCTAGTTTCATTTCTTCCTTCTTTCTTTTTTCTACCTATCTGAAAAGGTAAAGGTTGTAGTTTGGATTGTCATTTGTTATTATGAGGACGGTCATTAGAGAATGAGGAGAACGGAGGGTACATACTTTCTCAACCATCCATGCCTAGATCTTGGATTGGTTTAGAACGCTCAGAAAACTGGGAAGTTGTCGTAAGTTTATTGGGAAGAAAATGTCTAATAAAGCATTGAAGAAAACAGCTAAAAGATTATTAAACATATTTATTACTCTTGACTTCATAATATAGATGTAAGTGCTAACTGCGGAGTTTCTGTATTATGAAAGGAGAGGAGTGGGATTGGTGGGAAAGCTAGAAATTGGTTTTTTTGGTTGTTTATTGGTTTGTCTGAGATAAAAGGATAATGAGGCACTTTTTTCTAAGCTTGTAACGGGAACTTTGAATGTAATCCACAAGTGTATTGTCCAAAAGCTATAGAAAGCCTGTCTCCTTTTAATGGCATTTAAAGGATAAAGTCAGCGCTACTGTATTTATCTAACCGAAAATGTTTCTGTCTTAATGTATCTCACAGATTCCATATTATGGTTCTGGTAAAATCCTCTGGATGTGATGGATCACAAAGATAAGTTAACCAATCTATTCAATTTAACTTACAGAAGACACAAATTCTAGTTATTTAAATGATTCATTTGTTCTACTCCAAGGTTTTTTGATTTTTACCAATGTTATGGACCACAGTAGCTTTAACTCCCTATAGATTATTGTGAGATTAATAAAAAATCTTCCTCATAGAAAGGAAAGAGTTTCAACTAATCAGTAGTCACAGGCCACAGACATTACCTAATTCAGTTAAATTTTTATAGTTGGATTCAAATGCTGGGTCAACCCTATAATTCAATTCTCCTACTCCAGTTTCCTGATTGCTGAAATATTGAGTAAGTCAAGAAACCAAACTGATTACATTGCTAATTCATGTAATCCACCCTCAATGGAGCCCTCATTGCTTTTAAACAATTTTTATATTCATCTCTAAATATTTCATATCTTCCCAGCACCCAAACATCCTATCTTGCCTCCTTGGTAATATTCTTCATGCTAACTCCTGTGGAAAGATTGAGGACTATCACATCAACTCCCTTAATTTCCCTCTCCAACAGAAAAAAGTATTTGTATTTTAACACACACTTCCCATCTTCCTTCTAATCTCAAAGAAGAAAATGTCTTTCTCCTTTTTGTAAATTCTGATGTTTGCGCCTTCCACCCCTTCTCACCTTTTTGTGATATTTTGCTTCATCAATTACTTCCTTGTATCATCAATCTCTCCCCACTCTCCTTGCTTTCCCTCAACATACTGACACGTTCCTTTCCTCAATCTTGTTATCATCTTATCTATTTGCCCTTTAGAAGCTCACAGTGTTTTAATAAAACTTTATAAGGCAACAGAGGCCTTACAGTGTCTAAATTGTGTGAAAAAGAATGTTCACTTGATTCTTGTAGCTCAGGAGTCATGCCTTAGTGAGCCTCAGTGAGAATTACCAGTGGAACTAGCCTTAACCATGTGGTTCACTTAGGCATGTACACTTTTAAATTATTGTAGAAAGGTTGTAGTAATTACTTTTATGACTAAAAGTATAATCTCATTTTAGTAATTGAACACCAAAATTATTTTCCTCTTCACATTTTACTCAGGAGTGACCTTGTAGATAAAGATTGACATCATTTACCAGAAAAAAATTGGATATCATTATTCTTGGTGGGAGAACTGCCCCCTCTTGGGTATTTTTGTATCTCTCTGGGTTTACAATTTTCTACCTTGAAAATTGCACTCATTATTTCAGTGACTATTTAGCAGTTATACATCAACTGAATACTTTCCTGGTGTAGGAACGAATCAAGGCCAACCTTACCCTACCAAACCTAGAAAGAAAAGCCATATAAACTTTTGAAAACCAGTTTAAAAATATCCTTAAATTGTTCATATCACTTTTAAATACCACTGTGCCATAATGAAATAGCCAAATAACTATGTTTTTATCACATGGCGTAAGTGTCTCATGAGGTTATGTTTATTTGTTTAAGAGAACAGTTATGCTCGAAAGACATCATTAACACAATAAACAAAGCATTATTACCAAGGGCCATCTGTTGATATATGAAAACAGCATCAGTATATAGAACCAGATAAAAAAATTATGTTTCTACCTAAATGTGTACTTCCAAAAATTAGAGAAATAAGTGCACAGAAGATGTATAGTAATAATATTCAAATGTACTAAATGAGTGTTAGATTTTAAATGCAATTTATATTATTGTTGGAGGCATTTTTGTGGGGGAAAATCTATAAAATTATTAAGTGTTAAAATCACATTTTAGGAGACATCATAATCATGGTGGTATGAGGGGATCCTCTTGTTTCTCCTTCTCAATATATAGCCTGTAAAGCATCCATTACCCAACAAAGACTACACTGCATGTCACATCAGGATCCTGGAGAGATCCACACGTTTGTACATACAAAAGTGGCTGGATTGGAGAATATTAAGGAGGCTAAATGGGGGATCAGCAGAGGCAGAGCCCAGGATCCTGGATCCCTGGCCACAGCAGCTGAGCCAGCCACCACCAGCCCCAGAGAACTCGGTGGGAAGCAGCAGAGGCATGTGTGCCACTCCAGTCAGTCAGCCATGATGGAAGATGTGGCCACAAAAAGTGGAGCAGCAGTGGAGGTGGAGCTCTGTGATGCCAGGCCCCCTGGCTGTGGCTTGGATCCTGATACCAGTGGTGGAAGTGCACACAGGACCCTTACATCCCAACTGCAGTGGTGCTTGTGACCACAAGGTAACAGGCAACAGCTGAGATGGTGCCCCATGAACCCAGCTCTCCTTCCTCTCCCTTTCTCCCCCCACCACAACAGCAGAGCTTCTGACCCAGGTGATCCCAGACTTGGCTGAGGTATCAGCCATCCCTGTGCCCCCAGTGGCAAAGTCAGTGACATCAGTGACATCAGCAATAGCAAGGCATCAGTGACCCCTAGAAGCATAGGTGGCAATGATGAGAGTACCAGTGATGCGCTAAATATAGGCAGTGAAGGAAGCTAAGTATGGCTCCTGAAATATAGCCAAGGGAGCTCAGGTAAGAGAAACCAAAAACTAGTGCTATAGCACCACCTACTGAAAAACAAAAGAAAGGCTTCTAATTGCCAAGCAGTTGAAAAGTTTGAATTAAAGCAAACAAAGCTATACCTAAATAGAAAATACGTTTGCTACAATAAATACACCAGCAGAAGAATAACTCAGAAGCACCACAGAAAGCCACAGTACTATGGCATCACAAAAAACCCCCACAATTCTACATAAACCAAACATAAAATCATGGAAGATTTTGATCTAACTAGTAAAGAATTCAAAATAGCCGTCATGAAGAAACTCAATGAGTTACAAGAAAACTCAGAAAGGCAGTTCAATGAGCTCAGGAATAAAATCAATGAACAGAAGGAATACTTTACCAAAGAAATTGAAACTCTAAGAAAG